TGATGGGTTATTTTCATCGTAAATGGGTTTCTCTTGATGACGAATAGGATGCGAGAGTACGAATAACGTGGTGGTCGACGAACAAAGTACAAAGAAAAGAGGACACTTTTCAATACGTCCTTGTTTCTTGATTCTCGGCTACTTGGAGGAAATGCGAACGTACCCCATCACTGGACAGCTATGAATGAACAGGTTTTTTTTCCCCCCGGACATGTGAGTCCTGAAATTCTTGGCCCGACCCTTCCACAACCTCTTGATTGTGGTGCAGGAAAAAGCTCAGAACTAGGGTGCAGCATCGCCTGATGTGTGAACTACCATCAAGCCTTTCCTGATCTTGATAAAAAGAATCTTGATAAAGGATAGTCTTGGCAGGCACAGTTCGGCGACAGAGGGGGCATTTTGTACTATAACTGCTTCCCTAGTTCCAGTTTCACAAGTCTCAGTATCAAAACTGTGGAACACTGTGAAGGGGCTGGAGCAAGGTCATCAAACCATTGTGGTAAGACCTGTCCTTGAGAAGAGGCTGTCTGGATAGCTCGGCAAGTCGGTGGGAAGCGGCAATAAGTGCAAAATGCCCCCCCCCCCGTCCTCGCCAAACTGTGCCTCTTAGGAGTCCATCAATCCCTCAGTGGGATACGGAACGCATTCCGCTTTCACACAGAATCCCAGCTGCCCGTGAATGCGAATGAATGTATGAACTGAATGTGACCTGTAGAATGACTTGCGTGGGCTAGCCGATGTACAAGTCAGTGTTCTTATCCTCTCCAAGCTACTTCTAGTAGCAATAACCGTCAAGGTGAGCGGGGGGAGGGATAGAAGGCTAAGTTGGCCTGGTGGGCAGCCGGGTCTGATACCCCTTACAGCACCCCCGCCTCTGTGTCTTGATAGTCACAAATCAGGCAGTGGTGGAAGGTCATTCAATATAACTGCTATTCGAGTTCACAGGACAAAGTTCGCTCCCCAATAATGGTTCCAGAAGATTCTTGTCGAGAAATCCAAATACGTTACCTTTCCTCAACATTATGGTACACAAAAAAATATAAAGAAGAATCCAGTAGTGCAGTGCTGTAATGATTGTTGTGGTGAAGCTGTACATACAGAGCCAGTACAAGAAAAGTTACCAAACCACTTGAAGTTCGATCCACATAACTTTGATTCTACTTGGATACACATCCTCGCTGAGAATCCCTGGCGTACGACGTGCCTTGATTTCATCCTATCCCTTTTCCAGTCAAGACATCCATCATGTGCGGGGAAAAAATAAGGCAGGGATAGACCTTGTTACCGGCTCGGGACTCGCAGCGGATCTTATTACAGCAAAAAGTGTAAAAAAAAATTAGCTGATTCAATGACCGCTAATGGCAGTTTTGTTCCACCCAGTTGTGCCGTCAATGCATGGCTGATGGGGTTCGACTTCGAGAGCTAGGTGCTGAGTAAATCATCTCCAAGCGCAAGCTGGAAGCACCTCCCTGCTATCCAAAAGGGTGCCGTTTCCTGGAATGGCGCCTGGCTGACTACTAGGAAGCCTTATGGCATCTCAATGGTGAAACTCTCGCAGATTTGGCTCTGAGGAATTCGAGAAAGCTGTGCAGGCCCATCTCCGAGCTAGTTCCTTCAGAGAGTTTTCTTCAGCAATTTGAATTATGTCTTAGGAAAGCAATATTTTGCGCGACTGAGGAGGTAAAAGAGAACGTTCCATTCAAACTCTGATACCATTTGAGCATCATATGGCTTACGTACAAAAAGATCGTCCGCTCTTGAAAAGTCGCCGGAAATTCTATTGGGTTCAAGAAAGATGAAGCACAGCGAACCATCAGAAAAGCCGCAGTAGAGGTGAAGGAGGGTGTGGAGCGTTCGGCTGCGTTCATACTCTGCTCAGTGTAACGCCAGCGTTATGAGGCGTTCGAAGCAGAACGCCAGCGCCTGCGATCAGAAGAACTGTAAGTATCGACTTAGAAAGTATGTAGCATGTGCCACTGTTCGAACGACTAAGGAAAGCAATAGAATATCGATCAGCGTATTCCGCAGCGAGCGCCAGCATCCTCCAGGAGATGGTATGGGAAGTATGAGGGTGGCAGACTGCCTAGATCAACGCGTCTCAGAATTGTGGCGCTTTTGCAAAACCGCACTGTATAGACTGCTAAAGCATCAAAATAGACAAGCTTGATTACGTGAGTAGTGGGCAAGGAACGCACGGTCCTCTTTACTTCCCCAATACTGTTACTCAGTGGAGCTGGCAAGGCTGGCATAATCGATGCCTAACATACATACTTTCCTAGATGTAGCCGCTGGCGTACGCTTGAAACAAAGCGCTAGCGCACGGTGACGTGAAGTATCAACGCATTCCTATTTTCACTAGCAAGTACAGTCGTCATCCGGTGATTTGATGTAGGGCGACAAAGGGAACGCGAACGCGGCTTGCGGGGGGGTTTTTGTGTTGCCGAGCGCTGGCGGAATCAAACTGTTTCCCAGCATATTTTAGCATTGTTCTTCGCCTTTGCGCTGTTTTTGCTTTTTCTCGCGATCGATTTTCCATTTTCTTATTAGGTTTAGTTGGCTTACTGGTCATTAGAAGCGATATAAGACGTGGATGTTTCTGCTCTTAGCATAGAGTGTTTTTTGCGATTTTTCAGAGTATTGTTCAACTGTTGTTTGACTGTGTTAACTGTCACGCAAAAAACCACAGAAAAGAAACCTGCTCATCATAATCTACCCCGTGAAAACAAAAAACAACGTGACACGCCAAAACAGCAGCAACTAGGGAGAAAATGGCTAAAATAGGCTGGAAACAGCTGATCGCCGCGCTCGCAACACACCGCAGCCGCGTCGCGTCCCTTGCCGCCCTAATCAAGTCACCGGATGACGACTGTACTTATTCTAGCAAGCTGGGCAGGCAGAGGCAGGCCTAGAAAGAACCAGTCAATTCGAGATGTGCCAGAGAGTGGGAAAGTCAACGCGCCGCGGCACTGCTAAGTTGACGTGGTTGGGTTCGTGAGGCGAATTACCCTTGCGCACACGGCCGCACGCCTGTTTAGTTTTAGCTTACTGGTATGGCGAAGTAATGCTCCACATTCGGCTAAAGAGCGAAAGATAAGCACGTGAACATCATAAGAATTCCAGGGTGCGGAAAGTTTAGCAATGCTGTCGGATGGAATTCTTCGTATGGCATTTCCGCTGGGCGGAGGTGGTCTAGCGGCCAGTAGTACACGTCTCTCTCGCGTGGTTCTGTTCTGGGTTCACATCCCGGATCGACCTCCCCCCTCACCCGCTCAGGCCAACCAGGCCTTCACCCTCCGGGGTCGGTCAAATGGTACCAGTTCCGTTGGGGAGAATAAGAACGCTGGATTGTACATCTTTGCTGGCTCCCGCAGGCATCATAAAGGCCCCATTGCCTATATCCCCCATCAATTAGCCACTGCGATCTGATGAAAGTAGAATATCGTAAAGCATCCGAAAGAATGGTTGTTATCACCGTAGACTTTACCCTTAACCTTTTTGCTTCCACTTGGGATAACTGTCATCCTGTTTTGCGCTTAACAAAGACACGATTACAGTTGCGCCAATACGGCAATATTCTATCAAGAACTCAGTTGTCGCCGCTATGTTGAAATGAAGTAAGCACGGCCACGCCCTCCCGTCTGTGAGATGTGAACTGTATTTCGGCGTAAATATTAGGAAGGCTTGAAAGTGAACGTAGCTGTTAGCATGTCTTCCTGATCGCGTATGCGCAGACATAACCACCTTTCTCGTACATTCAATGATGCCCTTCTCTTACGCTATCAATCACAAACTTTTTCAAATCAGCTACAGCACATACTGACCGATTGCAAACAAAGTTCCAAGAGGCAGATACGCTTAATCCTTTTGCCATTTATTACACGTCTCGTTAGGTGAACCATCTGCCCATGACTGGAAACCATAACGTGGGCAGAATCACACGGAGGCACTAACTATTACTTCTTTCTTTGGCATTTTCACTGCTCACTGCTCAAAAACTATCCACGACTTGCGAAGAAGTAAGGATCAGTTTCTCTATAAAGGTGAAGTAGGCTCTGCTACCGCAAGTTGTTGTCATTTTTCGCGAACATTTGCAGGGCGTTCGTGAGGGAGCGCCGGGAACTTGTGGATCAGGCCACCCCCACCCTCTCGGGACGGATACGCCCATTGCCAGAGAGTAACGTTCTCTCACAGTTGTGTGCTCTCTCGCTCTTTATTGAATAATCTATCGCCTAAGCACCTTAGTAAGCGTTCTCTACTATTTTGTCTGCCTCTTCCTTATTGACGTTCATTGAGCACCACAAAGTGGTATTTGTAATCGCTACTTACGCTGCGCGCATCTGTACATACTAGAGCCTGAACTATTTTCACATCTCCCGCACTATACACAGTCTTAATCAGTGATCAGTGCTCATGTCGGGGCATTCGAGGGGGTGGGTTTAGCACGGCACTGGCTCATTTTCCACTGATTGCTGTCGCTTGCTCCCTTCAACAATTAGTGGATAACGGGTTGGCGCATCGCCAAACCCAGCCTCTATCACACCTCGGCTTCCGCAGCAAACAAGGCTAGTTACGAACTGCTTTCACATGGGCACTTCTTCGTCGGTAAGACAATCTCTGCACTCACCCCCGAGAACGGTCGTTGCTATTTACGATGCGAATGGGTCTGCAGATGCAGTAGCAAGCCACGTTTCCCCTCCATACTCCGCCCGCGCTGTCGCCAGCCAATCACACCCCTAACTATAACTAAACGCGCTACTCGTCTGCGTCCTCTCACTTCTGTCCTTTACGGCCGAAAATGTGTTTCTTCGCGAAGTCTTAGTATTGATTCAAAAGCTGCACATTAGGGATAGCGTGTGTGGAAAAAAGCGGCACCCGGGTTTCTTTTTTGAGCAGTGTGGCAATACTGCACCTGCGAACCCGTTCACCTCGCACATTCGAAACACTTCCCTCGAACGTGAGTGTACAGTTAGCCTTTAGGTACTGAGCGCTGAGTGTCAAAGATGATCCGTTCTGCCGTCGCTATTGTTGCCTTACTGAGCATCGCCTCTGTTGTTGGATTCACCTTCAACGATTTACCTGCTGAGCTTAAAAGTGAGTTTAAAGTTATAGTTCTTGGAAGTCTCCTATAAATCATTTATATTTGTGATTTCAAATTCTGCAGATTCACGCTAGATTTCTACAAGATTTGTTGCCAGTAGTGAATTTGCCTAGAAGAATGTCAAAGAATGTCCCTTAAAGGCAGCTGGCAACGCCTGACAGGACGGGATTCTGCGCCCTTGAACAGGCGTTGCCTAGCCACTTTCCCAAAGAAGGTACCCTTACAGGGCCCTGTCAAGCTGCAACACATCGACCCAGACGCCCACCGCGCCCGCCCGCCCACAAATGAACGACCGTAGTTGGTGCTGCATAGATATATGGGTAAATACGTGCAGCCGGATCTACCGTGGTGGGGCTAATGCTGTTTGGACGCGCTGACTTTTGGCTGCGTGCTCATTTGTAAAGCGCCTAAATCACCAAATCGCTAAAAAGTTAGAGAGGTAATTTAACATCCTCATTACCGCTATGACATTTGTTCTGGCGTTGGCGCTAATGGAGAACACTACGATTACCTGTCCTCTGCTAAAACTGAATCTAGAAGATAATCGTAATGTCCTCCATTAGCGCCAGAGCCAAGAATGAATGTCATATTTGTAACAGGATGCCTGATTACCTCTATAAACAAGTCTTCAGCGAATTTGGTTATCTAGACACTTTCAAAACGAGCCTCCAGCCAAAACTCAGCCCGCTCAAACGGATTAGCCCCGTAGCGATTATTGGTAGACTAGGTGCGGCTACGAGAAACTCGTCCGAAATTGCTCTTTGAGTCGTGAAGACGAAGGCTTGTCTTCGCGGATTTTTGACCGTTTCTTTCCGCTGTTCCGCTGTTTTCCCATTGTACAGCGTCCTACAAGCATTTCAGACCGATTTCCAAAATCATGCCATATGCCTTTAAGGTTGTTTGACCTCTGGACACGATTGTCACACTCCTTTGTCTTTAGAACACCTAGTTCGGGCAAAAAACACACTGCAGTCTGCAAATGACTGCAGGCAGGCAAATTTGCCCAAAAACTTGCGCGACCGCTAGATGTAGGCATTGTGACGCCAAACGAATGTGGCGCTCGTATTCACGTGATCAAAATGGCGGTAGAAAAAGGTTCCTGGCCAAGGTTCCTAGCCGTCAGAAATTTTGTCAGCAAATTAAGAAAAATTTCAATACTGAGATTGGGTAGTACGAATAGTGCGTGTTTAGATATTAATAGGCATTTTTAGATATGTTTCCCGACCAGATCAGAAGCTTCTTCAGTGGTCTTTCCGAAAGCGACAGGGCAACTATCAGAGAAGTGGCTAAGAGCTTCACCAGTACCGCACAAGTCAGTGACTTGTCATTGAATCCTTAGACAGCATAGAAGGAAAGAAGTCAAAAAATGTACAATCAACAAAGGTCCAACATGAGATAAGAATTTCTGAGAATTGGCACTGCTTCAGAATGAACTCTCGGAGAACCCAGGTGGTCTGACCACCTTGCATATGATATTAGAATATCATCGAAGACCCTTTCATCTGTCAGCTGAAGGGGAAGACATCGCTCACGAAGGTGCCCATCGGATTGAGGAATCAGCTCACAACGTTTTTTCTGAAGTTGCTATTTGGACAAAAATCAGTAATTACAGTAATAAATTAATTAACTATTCACCGTTTTGGTGCGCGACCCCCTCCCACCTATCGCCCAGTTTGTCGACGTTCCTCCAAAAAGTGCCCAATTTGGTCTTGAAGAGTTTGAAGACCCAGTTTCTAGGGTTCTTTTCTATCCTTCTCATATGGTTGGACAGGGCAAAAGCCACATTGACATTCACGGGGTCGAATCTACGGTCTAGTGTGATTGTTCCTAGTCTCGTGAGCTTTGAAAAGGGTAGTAGATAGAAGTCGCAGAGAGCAAACAAGAATACCTAGCCCGTTCACGTTCCTTCCAACAATCTGTTCATTAGTATTCATCGCACTGCTACTTGCCTACGAAGTCGACGCAAGTGGACTTGGGAACGGTCTACCGATGATGTGTTTGGACTAGTGGTCTTCGAAACGTTCATTGCGATCATGATTTTGCAAGCACCACCGACTATAGGGGACACAAAGCATTCCGAAACCTTCAAATTACTCGGGAAACACTTAAGATACTGTTATATGTTCGTAGCACCTATTCTATGTCCAAGACTGCAGCCTACAATCAGACGCTCAAGCGGGTGCGCTTTCTGAAAAGCCTTCTGTATAATGCAGAGAGACAGGGCCAGAAAAGTAAGTTCGTTTTCGCTGCGCGCTCATGGTAATACCAAAAAGGTATGAAATAAGTTGATGGTTCGGCATCTAGTTTAAGTAATGCCCCACGTCTATTTTCACCTTGATTTCAGCAGTTCCTTTGGAAAAAACCCTTCGCTAGACAACTTGGTTAAAATTGTGGGTGATTCACAGCGCATAGAGGCTTGAAAAGGTAGAGGTATACAGAGGATTCTTTTTTATTCCTTTTCGCCTCCTTTGGAAATGCGCAGCAAAAATGAAGCTCACTTTTCAGGTCCTTGCATGAGCCTCCTACAATATGCAAAAAACGTTTTCAAAAACCGCACCAATCCCTGAACGACTTTCATTGCCAGATTACTAAGGAAAGCAATACTTCGCTTTATCCCTCGAGAACAATGCGTACAATTTTTAAGACTTGAAAGTATGTCAGCGTTATGGTAGTATGAAACTGAAATTATTCATTGCGGAAGAAATTACGTGCAGTTTACGTGATCAAAACAAAATGTCACAGTTTTTTTCGGCAACAAATCGGATGTAATAGATCAAAATTTGAAATGGAACTTTAGGGTGAGAGAAAGCTATCAAAAAATCGTTTCGCCGAACACTATTGCGCGCTACCGTGGGTACTTCATATACTGTATGAGATCTTAGCTATAGTGAGACACAGCTCGAGATGGATAGTATTGTTCGCTGCCGGTGCTGGAGCGTCTTAGAGGGCCGGGTTTGGCCTGGCACCAACCCGTTTTCCATCAATAGTGTTCGCTTAGCAGCTTCCACAATCGGTGAAGAACATATTACCGCTGCAGCGATCCCATCTCCGCCCTCCTTTCCTCACCACCCCCCCCCCCCAACCACTGCAGTATCCGTAGCGAACAAGACTGGATGTTCATTCCACACATGAAATCGCTGATGTTTTTTTCAGCTACGTCATAATCAACATGTTCTAGGCCATATCGGCAATAAAAGCGAAATCGCCCAAACTTGGTGGCGAATTTGAAAAGTACTACGAAATGGGTAAGAAGAAGGTCGACGCTCTTGAACCGAACGCTCGCAGTTTCATAAAAAATGTCTGTTCTTTTCTCATTCTAGGCTCTTCTCTGTGTTAGTTACCTGCATTTTCAGCTCTACCAAGGTGTTCTCAAGATATACTCAGATGCAGTACAAGGCCACAAGCTCACCGGCCCTCAGTTGAAAGAAGTAGTGCAGGAGATTCTCAATAAATACAACGCTCTGCCAGAACCGGCTAAAGCTGATATTCAGAAACAGTTCCCAACTCTCAGTGGCGTACTCAAAGGTCAGTTTCATCCTAATTATCCTAACTAGGGATGGTCGCCAGGTCGAAGAGGCCATTTGTAAGAGACGTATATCACGGGACGTGTTTTTGAACGCTGATTTCAAATCTGCCTTCGAAATTTGCAGAACGATTCTCTGAAAGGGAATTATGAAGGTTTATTAGAATTAAAATGAAGGGACATGGAGTCGAGCGCGACTGCCAGCCAATTTGCTAGTATAGCCGCGAAGCTCCTAAACCCAGCGGTGGCATGCTATAGGGGTAACGGGAACTTTCTTGCATTTCGTGAGGAATGTCTCTTTTGAGTCTAGAAAACACTCGAACCGCGGGTGTCATATTCGTGTTCAGGGAGCAAAACTACCCTTGGGGACAGGTTTCTAGCCAGATGTGAGGTTTTGACCTAACTTTGAAAAGTGCGGTAGCAGTTGATCGAATGATGGTCACCAATAGTTCCAGGGCCAGTCTCTTGTCGATTGCTTGTCTTTGGACGGAATCTTTTAGATACCAGGAAAACTGGAGCAGTAACAAAATGAATGCGTAAGAAGTGGCAAGACGAGGCTTTGTGCAGGAGAATGTATCTGCAGCTGAATAGGTGTGAACATCTGAACTAACCCATGGATGCTTCACTTTTCGAAGTCAGGTCAAAATGCCAGATTTGGCTAGAAACCTCTACCTAGGCGTAGTTCGCCCCCATAAATACGAATATGGCACTCGCTCAGCGCGAAAACGTCCTGCACTGCGCGCCAAGGGCACCTGTACATCCAAAAATTCTCCTAGATCATAAGGCACTAAGCGCCAGTAAGCGAACGCAAACTGTTTTTCAGGCAAGTTTAGGAGAGCGCTAATGTAGTAGTGACGCTACAACCACTTTTTGCCACGTTTGCGCAAGAAGCAAAAAAGTTAAGCTCAGCAGGGATCCGATCCCATGACCTGTTGCGTGGTAAACGCGGTGGAAAAAGCTCCATAACTCCGTTCAGAGAATCGTTCTGCAAATTTCGAAGGCAGATTCGAGATCAGCGTCCAAAACCACGTCTAGTGAGCTACATCTCATTACAAATGGCCACTTCGACCTGACGACCTTCTCCTAGTAAGATGATTCCAACGAAATCGGTGGAGGCACTTACCAGAGAACACATTTACAGATAAGGAATTGCCCAACAAGGTTGCAAAGGTCAACATCGCCAATTAGAAGGGGCTTCGCCATTTAATATCAAGCACTGACATTATTTGTTCGGATAGGAACGTTTGCAGACAGACTTCTTTACTAGTTTCTTATTCTACAGTATTTCGTTTGAGATAGGACAAAACAGCTTTGCTTTGTTTCAATTTTTGCATCTATCAACTTCATCACGAATTTGACAATGTCATTTTTTGTTGATGTCATTTTTGTTAACCGATGATGTCACTGCTAACAAAGATTCTATTTTCACTGTGGTCTGTCAAAGTATTCTCTTTGCAAAAGAAAACATCTGCAGCTTGCAGAAAATTGGTCGACAAGGTCCGGTCACCAAAGGGTGTAGTATGTCCCATCCAATCCTCTGCGCCGCGAGTATACCGTTAGTTTCACGACGCAGCATCGCACGTACCAGTAGAGCATTCCCTAGATAGCTGACGCTAGAGACACAGACAGAATCGAACGCCAAAGTTCTGCCTCTGAGTGAGTCTGATCCTGCTGCGAGAATGCGCACATTATCCATTCGCACCCTCTATTGCTGAAAGTTGAAACCAATGGTGTACACCTCTTTGAACGCCATAACTGCAGCCACGTTCAAGTTTGTGTTCGGCCTCAAGAGGGATTTATTCTATTCAAAATATCCTGTGTCGGTTAAGAACTCCTCCACTTCGAGCTGCACTGATGCAATGTCACAGTGTTCGTCAATACCCTCGTTATAAAACAACTATGAACTTCATCGGCACCATCGACGAGATGTCAGTGATCCTACGACCGAAGGAGTATGATGAGGCACAGGAGCATCTAGTTAGAGAGAATCTTAATCGTAGAATATACCTACATGACCATCTCCTCTGTCCAACTGATATATGGTCCGTTCAAAGGATAATCGTGGAGGGAAAGTTATCAATAATAACAAATCAGGCAAAGCAGCAGACCTGACGACCTGATGGGTCGACAGCATGGTGTCGCCACGGTGTTGATTCTTTGCTGGGCAAGTTTTTTTTTCATAAGAAGACGCCCGAACGGTGGTAAGAGAGCGCTACGATGGAAGAAGAAGGGCAATCCCGCGCACTACTAGAACTATCGCTCAGTTCGCCTTCCTTCGCAGCACAAAAATTTTCGAGCGAATTGACGATGGATGTATTGCTGGTACAGTGCAGCTTTTTACCAATGGGACACATTCGACGCCATACATGCCGCTCGTTTTTCGATGGAGAAGCATCGTGAAAAGCAGAATCCTGTGCATACAGTCCTCTTAGATATGAGAAGGGCGTATGCTTACAGCGACACGGCGTTCCAGAGGCCCTGAATAAGCGAGTGCTCCTTATACGCGACCCAATGAAGAGAACCAGACACCAAGCTGGAATTACTCATAACAGTAGAAGTACCACAAGGATCTGCTTTCTCCACATTGCTCTTTGTTGTTGTCATGGATTCCATGTCACGAAATCTTCAGAAGCTAAGGATTCAAGAAAGCCTTGGACGGCTAATACGCTGCTACTATGACGTCCGCCTATGATGATTCGAATGACGTCGAACAACGGGTACAAGTTTGGTTTGATCGCATCACAAGGTTAGGCTCAGCTTAAACGTCAAGAAAATACAGCGCCTAACGCCCGACTCAAACGATTCCGGTTTGACCAAGAGGAGCGGCAAAACTAACACGTACAGAAACGAGCAAATCAGCAATCGCATCCTGCAGCCTGAACTCACCATTTGAAATGAACTTGCGCCTGAGTGCTGCTTGGTCTACATAGCGTTCCATAACTGAAGTTCGGTGTAACAAGATCGCACCATAGCGCCCAAAGTAGAAGATTTATAGTGTGGTTCGACCACTGGCGTTATGCTGGGCTGAAGTCATGGCCTAAAACCAAAGGTGGTGGGTGAAGCCCGACCCAATGCGAGGAATACCAAAATGTTGTGCTGGACGGCCGGTGTCGCGCGTATGAACGCGCCTGCAACGACGACATACGCCGAGGTAGCTGCCATAGCTAAAAAAATGCATGAAGTTCGCCTCCGACGGTACGGCCATGTACTGTACGCGAAAGCGACAGCATCCGAAAGACTAAAATTGAGGTTAAAAGCGACTCAGAGAACGCTCCCGACAAGGTTTTCTTGCCACGTTGCTTGCAGACTTGAAGAAAGCTGGCACCCAACCTGATCAAACATTCAATCGGAGAAGTGGTGTCGTAGTGACAGAAGAAAGCAGCATGCACAGGGGTGGGCCAATGTGAAAAGTAAGATGAAGAAAAAGAAGATCATGGTGAAGAGAACATACAGGGGGCCAAAAAAGACACTTTCGCCGAGTCACACATCAGTAAAGTTTACGCCCAGACAGAACACGTGGATAGTACCAGAGGGAAGGCCTATGGAATTCACGTCGAGCAGCTCCGACTTCCGGCTTCGCTACGGTCTAGGACATCATCTTCACCACAGTCGCCAAGGCGCGGGTTGATGGTATGGACCGGAAGTTCCTGGAATGGGAAGACCAATATTTTCTTCGTGGACCCCGGACTGAAGGTGAACGCTGACGGTTACATCGACCAACTCGAGGAGAATATCCTGCCTTCATACTGCCTGTACCGTCTTCGAAACTTGTACTGCTACAGGATTGGGTGCCAGCACATGGAATCGAAGGGCGTTGAGAATCTGAAGAAGACAGAACATTGAATTGTATCACCTGACCTGAAACCCCTCGATTATCAGGTCCGGACGAGCTCAGCAGGGTGTTTACAGTAGGCGGAGAAATCAACGACCTCGCTGAACTCAGGCACCGAATCACGGTCGCGTGGCAGAATCTCTCGATGGCGTTCGTCCAGAAGGCTGTGGCGGAGTTTCGTGATCGTGTGCAATGCGTTGTTGAATTTGACAGCGGGGCCGCTCAATAAGTTTCCAATGAAATGTCACTTATATCGCCTTGAATCTCGAGGGAGAAAGGTCCGCTTCGGTGCAGGAGAGGCTGCTATAAGAAGCGCCACCAGGTCAAAGGGTGGAATTTGCCTGATTTCAACCAACTTTTACTGGGACCTTCTTTGTACTTTGCATCTACGAGTATGGCTACCTGTAGGTGATTGACAGGACTCATATTGCTTGACCTAAACATTGTGTCGATTCGCAATGATCCCCTGCACATTTCCATCGGAGTTAGATCCGGTCAGCTGTCGGCTGAAAGTATAGATCCTGCGTTTACCACTCATCCATTATCATCGAACTAGTGGCTTCAACGCCAGCATCATCGCACTGTC